TCTATTTTTGCCTCTGCTAAATGGTTAATGCAGCAGAATATAAACATCAACATATGTTGATGTTTTGCTCAGGCTGTTTTACCCCTGTCTCTATCTGATGTGTTTTTCTACCTCAAGGAACAAATATCCTCTTAGCAATTTCCACAATGCACCTGCACAGAAGAAAAAAAGAGTCTTGAAGTATTTCCTTATCCGGTTCATGCAGTATCATATGGGGAACAGTAAATGTGGAGAGCTAAAGCACCTCTGGTACATCCCTGTTTGTGCTCCATCTCAGAGCGTAAGAATCAGATGAGCTTAATTCTCCTGCCTAGGGCGCCGGCCATTTCAATTGAGCCAATGAGGGGTTAGGGCAGATTATTTTCTTTTGGATTCATAAATGACATAGGACTGTATTGTCAATAAGCAATTCTGCACTGTCCTTTCCCCAAGACATGCGAAGAAATTATAGTTTGTCTTATACCACACGATGGTTCTGTAAAAGTTGTGGTAATGCTAGACCTTTTGGTGCTGAGTAGGAGCTTTTGCTTTTATCTGTGAACTAAAGTCGTCTACGTAGAAGACAAGGTTGATCATAATCAAGACCATTGCATTAGCATTTGGGGAGGAGATAGGAAGATTTTTTTTAACCTCAGTTTCAGTATTTACAAATCTCAGCTAGAAGGATGTGAGTCTGGGCAGGAATCTACATCTGCTAGTGATGAGTTTAAAAACAACAGTCTGTGCAACGCCTGCCTGCATTTGCAACACTCAGGTGTAACTCCGGGAACCTGACTCTGCAAATACTACTTTAAGGGAGGTGGTCTTGTTTATTGACTGGGAGAAAGTGAAGGAAAAGTATCATTGCTGTCATTGTGCAGTGAGGCAGAGCATGTGTGTAAGGGTTTGAAACATCAGGCCTAAGAAAATCTCACTGGGAGTCGAAGAGCTTATTTTATTGTGATTGCTGACATAGGCAGTGCAAGGCAAGAGGGAAGGAATGAAATAAAAATTACATTTTAGCGAGTGCCATAAGCAGGTTGCTGGGGCCAGGCAGGCAAGGAACTGCAAGGAGGAAACTGTGTTACACAGAGTAATTAAAACCTGCACGCAGCAACTGTTAACAATTATTAAGTTCTGGATTAAAAAACCAGAATCACATTTCAAGCTTTGGTAAGGCTATGAAGGCAAAGAAATACACCAGCCCCTGGAAGCGAGCGTTTGTATAGATAGCGAAGCTTTGAAATACGGATAGTTACTGCAAATGAAAACACACTGCAGAATCAGGAAACCAGAAGGCAAATAAAATAAATAAGTGACTTCTGTTTGAAAGAAAGAGTCCCATCGATTTTTTTTCTGTCAGTTTTCAGGAAGGCTGGCTCATGACTTCTGAATGTTCGTGGCTGAACAGAATAAATAGCGTTAGTGATTTCAGGGGGATCACTGGCAGTGCTAACTTGTACACCTGTGCAAAGTTACCCAGCACGGGGAATAGTGACTTCATCGGAAATCAAACTCTCGATGTCAGACAAAAAGAAAAAAAAAAGGAAAGAAAAGAAAAGAAAAAAAAAAAAAAGCGTAGCTGGAGCGTATGG